CAGCTGAGTGAATCTGGACTCTTGGGTAGGAAAGGGAACAATGCTGAAGTAAAAAAGGAGAACAGACATGTCTCTAACTTCACACAGGCTATTCAATATTCCTAGGTCGAATTCAAAGGGAGTCTAGTGTCTAAAACTAGTGAAGGCTCCACCTAGTCTTAGAAGCACATCCATTTACATACAGTCTCAATGGGCCAAATTCAGAGAAAGGAGTTAGATGTAGATCCTAAATTGAGGGGACAAATGAAAGTAATATAGCAAGGAAAATAACCAATAGAAGTAGCACCTACCCTACTTATCTTATACCTTTGTACACATTCCTCCAAGTCCTTGATATACAAATTATTACATACCAGTAAATAGATCTAAGGGACTGTAACAGTCTAATGAAATCTATCCAGTTGCAAAGGAGCCAGCTTATACCACTTTACATCTCACTTCTGGATTTGGCCCTCTAAGTGAAGGGTCAGACAAGAGAGACGATCTTCTGACCTTAGTAGCTGAGTCAACATTTTATACATGAGACAAACTATTCTTTCACCTGGTTTGATTTCTGGTTATTGGAAACAGGCATTTTAAAATCAATAGATTAAAAAGTCCAATCACAATTTCTTCCCCAAGGAGCCTAATCATATGTCTTAAGAAATAGCCTGGTATTAATTATTTTGGTTTATTTGTAGTATGAGACTGATAAAGACTAGATTGAAGGAGTGTGAGAGGAAGGACAAATGTCAGTTCATTCTGTTGCAAGTAGAATGTGAGCTGAGAGAAATCAGACACAACCTTTCTAAAGAATAGGGATTTACAGATCAGCTGGGGGTTGTGCTGACATTATCTGCTTTCATGACCATGAAACAATGCTTTCTTGACGAGCAGAACATAAAGCTTTAGAGGAAAACCTTGTGGTTTATTAGATTAAAAAACACTGCTGTGTCTGGTTTTTGACACACTTGCTGTTATATACTTATCAGCCAATGAACATGGAGTGCATATTAATGCCAAAGGTTGTATGGCAATTGACCAAAGAACTTATTCAACTAAATGAATAAAGTTAAAATACTGAGGCTTTCTTGAAAAGAGAACAGAACTGGGTTTTATACTGTACCTTCCATATTCAAAATATTTTAAAGCATTTTACAAAGTAGTGTGTTAAGTATTGCTTGTGATGTGAATCTATAGGCAAACAGAGCATACTTTATATTCAACAAGATTTCACGCACTGCCCTATTCATTAAAAAGTAAAGTGTAATATCTGTCCTGGATATATTCTTTTCTCAGAGAATCAGTCTCTAAAGAGAAATGTGAAGTCTTTTAAACTTCTATTTAGATATCCATACCAGATAGCAGAATGGGCTTCACTCAGTTTAACCTCTTGACCAAGTAAGGGTCCCTCCAAGGGCTTATCACCTCTCTAGTAATGCACTGGAGTAGCATCAGTAGGCCAGAGTCCTTGTTTTCATCTTTCTCTCTAAAGTACCCTACACTGTTGATGAAATACAAATAATAAGTTAAGTTGTTTGACTTCAACTTGCAGACTCAAAGGTCAAAGTGCTACCAGCTGAGCCATACACGCATAAAATAAATACCATTAAATGATAAATGATCCAATGCAGGGCCGGCTCCAGGCACCAGCTTGCCAAGCAGGTGTTTGGGGCGGCCATTCTGGAGAGGGGCGGCACGTCCAGCTATTCGGCGGACGGTCCCTCACTCCCACTTGGAGCGAAGGACCTCCCGCCGAATTGCCGCCGCAGATCGTGATCAAGGCTTTTTTTTTTTTTTGCGCCACTTGGGGTGGCAAAAACCCTGGAGCCGGCCCTGATCCAATGCTTAAAGCACTGGACTGTGACTCAGGAGAAACCCAGGTTCAATTCCCAGCTTTGCCAAAGACTACATGAGTGACCTTAGATCAGTCACTTATTTCTGTGCCTCAGTTTTCTATCTGGAAAAATATGGATTAATACTTTAACTAACTGATGTTCTGAGGATAATTTCTTTACATGTGGGAAGTGCTCAGATTCTCTGGTGGTGATCTCACTAGAAAAGTCTCTCTCTCTCTAAACAATTTCCTCCTATTGTTGTAGTCCCAATTTATTCACATCCCAAAGCCACCAGGTAATTGGCATGAATGCTTGTCTGCTCAAGTAACATACTAGATAATGTTGTGCATCAGATTCAAGTAAACTGGTAGAGTTGGTGGGTACAGAACTTGACAGTGCCCATAGTGTCTGGATTCAGCCAATGCTGATTCTATCTGTAAGTACTTCTACATTCATTCTTTTTTTAAAAAAAAGCAAACAACCAACACTTCCCCACTCACCTCTGCTAACTATCCATTCAAAAATAATGGACCTGACCCAGAGCCCATTAGAATAAATGGAAAAACTCCTATTGATTTCAGTGGGCTTTGGATCAGGCTCTATATGCAAGAGAGGTATAGATTTAAAAGGCCTCTTCTGATATTGTCAGAAATAAGGTGTCTGACGATGTGTATCTTTATTTCACCTGGGTGCTACCAAACTTTTATTTCCATCTGTAGTACAAGTTATTGTGTGCTTCCACTGTGTTCAAAGCCTTTCCTTTTGGTCTTGCCTTTCTTTCGTTAGCATACTGCTATTAATTTTCACCCATTTACCTCATGTTAGATAAAATCCATCTACAGTTCATGCAGGGCTCAAACACAGGCTCTCCTGTTGCTGTTTTCATTTTATTTGTGCTTATTTTTCTAAAACACATGCTACTGTGCACATTGCCAACATCACTCCTTTGGAAATAACATATTAATTCAAACAGTATTTCTTTGCATGAATTCTTTGATGGCTTACAGCTGATCAAACAGATACAAGATATCAGCCTATCACTTTCTAGGTTAGAAGTAAAAGAATGATAGTCTTGCCAAGTTACAGCATGAGTGCAATGACCTTGCTACTACTTGCATATTTATAATCCTATATTACTTAGCAATAGTGTATCCACATTAGCCTCCATATAAAAAGTCTCATCTGAATAATATTTTTAATGGATTTAGTGCAAGTGAGAGGTGTTGGGTTGTCAGGGAGACGTTAGATCTCCAGGACTATCTATTGAACAGGTACTCCATGGGCAGTGGCTGTACAACTTACACCTCATTGCAGAGATAGTTTTTTGGATGAGTAGTTTGGGCTATGTGCATATTAATTCTTGGTCTGGCCTGAGACTGCCCACAAGGCTGTTCACTAGTGTCCACTGATAAGGTGGGTTTTGTTTTAATAAGGAAACTTGAGCACTAGAAACTGGCTTGAGATCACTAAGTGGCTTTTACAGGCTACCAAATATCACAGTCACAACTTTCAATCACTTCTTCCCTCAGCTGGATTTGAAGTATGGAGGAGAAAGATTCTGTAACTCGTTACCTTTGGGCTTATCTAACTTAAACTTTGGGGACGTGATTAGTGTATGGATGGCCCAGGATCAGCAGAGCACAAAGATGGCTTAAGGCCACCTTTTCAGACCTTTCATCTTGAGTTGTGTGGTTTGCTACTCAGTTGCAGCTGCTGGCCAATACTGTCCTCAATAAATAAGAAACCGAGAAATCCAACAAATCTCTGGAACCTTTGCACAAACAGTATCCTTTTCCTTTAACAGTGACTTCATCATCTTGGGCCAGTTCTTGTAGTCTTTCCTCAAGCTAAACACTTACACCCACAAGTCTTTTGCCTGAACACTGAATTTGACTTTTTTTCATAAAAAGCTAAAGGAAAAAATATTTGCACATAAATGCTGTATTCTGAAAATGTGGAAGAATTAATATCCAGTATGCATGCAAATAACAAGATGAAGTGGGTAAGATATTGTATAGCAACTTTACTGCTGCTTCTCCTTTCTGCAAGAATGTCAGGCTTGTTTTCACTCATCCATTGTGAAACTGTAATGTGCTAACATACCCATTAAAAATATAAAGCAGGCCCAAGAGGAATACCACAGGAGGAATTAGGAGCTACAAAAGAATGTGCTATATGTAAAATATAATGGAGCAGATTATGCTACTAAAAGTAAATTTTAAGTCTTAGTCATTTAACATAAAGTGTTTTAGAAGAAGTTTGAGGTCTTATAAGGGCCTTTAAGGGCCCTCACCAATTTTTGCATCTTCAAGATATTTCCTTCATAATTTTTTCTCTTACTGATGTGTGAAAGACTGCACAAACAATAAAGGAAATGGTAATACACAAAGAACTGTTAAATGCATTATGAGTGAAATTCCATGCCTATCCATCTCTGAAGAAGGGTGGGCCAGAAAATCTGAATTTTGTTTCACAAAGTTTGACATTTTTACATTTGTTCCATTCTGGTTTGGAAATAAATCAAGCCCTTTCAAAGTCATGATGGAAAGAAGCAACCTCCATGACCCTAGAATAGCCAATAAGCTAGTGGCTGGACCACTCATCTGCAATCTGGGAGACTGAGGTTCAAATTCCTGGTCTGAATCAGAAAGAACAGGGTCTCTAATCTGTGTCTCCCACATCTTTGAATGTCTTAACCAATAGTCTGTTGAATATTCTGGGGTAAGATACACTCAGACCTATGGAAGTTGCCAAAACTGATACACTTCCACTACATCTTCTTGGTTCAACAATTAGGCATATTCTGTCAAAGTTTCTGACCTCTAGAGCAAAATTAAATAAAATTCCATTTTAAGAAAGCAATAGTTTCTTGGGTAAGTTTTCCAGGGATGTGAAGTGCAGCATGGGTTTATGATTAGAAGAAAAAGCAAACGCACCTAAAGGGAAAATGGTTCTCTTTCCATTTTGATGCACAATTTGTATCACAATGTTGAATTTTTAAGTATTGAAGTGATGAGTGAGAATATTAGACTGGAAAAATGCTCTCTATATTAACTTCCTGTTCATTTTGACCTTAATATATGTGCACAAAATGATCAAAATCTCACAGTATTTGATTGTGTATCAAACTGTGGATAAACACTGGCACATTTTTCAACAGACAACTCAAAATCAAATCCATTCAACTTTTAACACTTTATTGATTTGACTTTGACAGTCAATGAGAAAATATCTATATTATACACAGAATCTCACCTTTCAACTTTTGCATGAACACTATAAAGCCGATTGCAAAACTCCTCATATACACTGAATCAAGACTAATGTCACAGATGTATGGGGCCAGATCCGCAGCTGCTGTAAATTGATATAACTTCATGGAATTCAATGGAGCATGCCAATTTATATCTGGTGAAGATCTGGCCCATAGGCTGCAAAATAAAAGAAAGGAGTTAAAATAGCTTTATTCAACTGTGAACATTAAAATAGGTAATTTTAAATGCTTAAAAATAAACATCTATATTACCTGTTGAAATTAAAGAAAATTTGAATTTGCCAAATACTATATTAAAGCATAAAGCTAAAGGAATCTGAAGTTGTTGGTAACCTAATAGACAAGTATTTATGTAATTTTTTTATAAAATATTTTAAAGTTGAAGAATGTACAGTCATGCTGATTAATCTGTTAAGTTTACCAACATAGTACATATGAGGATGTAAAGAGTTTTCAGGAAGGGGATTTCTGCTCCTTTGCCAAGGAAAATAATAATGAATGACTAAACTTCTTACGTAGAATGAGTTTGCAAACATTATCTGCAACTGAATGTTAAGAAACTTCAGACTGATAAGTCATGATACCCAAACACTGCTCAGTCTTGCTCTCAGTTGTGTGCATGTAGCTTGCAAAATCACCAAGTGTAGCAATGGATTTTGCAAGACAGATGACACATATCCATGTGTCTCTGGGGTGGACACAACTATGAACATAGTTGGCAGTCCTGGATATAATTCTATCTCACAGAGATGGTTTGAGCTCACTGATCAGTCTTCTTTCTTCATGGATACCACACCTGGTAAAAAACAACAACAACAACAACAAAGAAGATCAGGTAACAGAGAGAAGTAACATATGGTACTGAGAATACAGAACAGGTGTCAATAAGCTAAAGAGTCCTTCTAAATATGAGGTACTGAAGCAGCACATAAAAAAAAATCCTAAGCACTACCAAAATATGCCATAATATTTGACTGGAACATAGGGACATAGTTGTATGAAGTGTAGTGTGAGGACACAGAGCCATGCTTTAAGCAGCAACTAGAGAGCTCCCTAACCATGAAGCTCCTATGTTTAAGCTCCCCACTGCAATGCATTCTGGTTCTCTCTGGTAATTGTGGATGACCAGGAATTCCATAACCATTCCACATTTCCCTTTCTTTATTATAAAGGATTAAAACTTTAATAAAACAACAACAATGTATACACAATTCTAAAACTTCAAATTCCTTTAAATTAGTTACACTCTGTCCTCTTACCAATTGCTTTTAAATTGTTCTAAGCAGTATTCTAAAGATCAAGTCTTTGGGAGGGTGGTGTCTGATCAGTCATCCCAATTGTATTCTCATTCATGTTGTTTGTGCATGGAGTTTCCTATAGAGGGAGTTGTGAAAGTAGAATGAATTATATTGTAAAAATAGAATGGATTAAAGAAATGCTGTATGTATCTTTAAACAGAAATAAGGAATGTTGAAATACAGGTGTCAGGAAAAGAAACATTAAGGCATAAACAATGAGTCCACTTAAGCTAATGGTGGAACATTAACCGGAGATCTGTAAAAGTTAGTAAGGAAATTGAATATGTATGTCTAGCCTCAGGTAAATTTGTCAGTTCTGCTTTCTTTGTCCTCTTATTAAATTCGCACCCTTTTTATCTGTATAAAATAAGGTAGTGTGGGTCTTGCATGGTGCTCACATTATCTGGGTGTATTAGCAGAGCGCTGTGCTAATAAACAGAGTGGTCTAACAAATTGTGAGTCCTGAATCTAACTTTGACAGAGTTCACTTCCCAACAGAGTACCTGTAGGTCCCAGATCCTCTCTTTGTTGTGTTGGAAAATACTGAAGATGAATCTGATTCCTTTGGGGAAGTCCATAATGTAGGATCAGGAAGTTTCTGCAAAGTTCTGAACAGTTCCAAGTGTCTGGGAGCTTTTGAGCCAAACTTTGTTCTCTAGTCTCAGTTCAGGTACCGCTTTTGTTCTGTACTGCAGAGTGAATTTTTGTTGCTGCTGAATTTTTATTTCAGCATCCTGTTTTTCAAATTCCTTCAGGTTGGGCCACTTAGGTTTAAGCGGTATCAGTGCTGCAGATAAAAGTCTTTAGTCATCTTCCCATCAGAAGTTCTGCTGGAGATAATCCAGATGCAAATGGTGTTGACCAATATATCAGGAGTGCTTTATGTGGGTCAGTGGTGTAACAGAGTTGAGTCAGTTTCTGACAAGTCTCACCCATTCGTTATTCATTTCTAATTTGCTTAAGTCAGCTGGCAGATGTTGGAATTGCTGCCAGAACAAGGTCAATGTAAACATTGACATCTTTCTTGAATGTCTTTTCTTTTTCCATTGGTGCCTGCTGAACTGGGGCTCTAGATAAGCTTTCCCTGCTGTGTGTTCAATGTTGAAAGAAAATTGCATCAGCAGTAGTCTTACTACACACTCTGTGGGTTAAGACAAAGAATTTGATACTGGTGGTAAATACTTAAAAAATATGTGACATGCATGATTTTTGGAAAAATCTTTGGTACAGACTAGGAGTGGTAACAAGAAAATCCTATGAGAATACTGCTTCTCAACTGGTACCTGTAAACAGGCTTAGAGCTTGGCACAGCAGAGAAAGCATAACCAATCTAGATTGCTGTATGAAAGGGGAAACTGAGGCACACCACCTCATGGCATTGGTGGTGAAATGCCAAAACACCTACACTTTAAAGGATATTGATATCTGCATTATGTTTGCAACGTTACACACCAAAATGTTTTCAGGCAACCTGGGAACAGAAACCCAGAACTTTGCAAAAGCACTTATGGATGACTTTACAGTGTTTGATAACACTTGGGGGTTGCATAACCAAAGCCAAAAAGGGATTTTAGGTATGACTAACCCTCTGGCAGTAATCTCAGGGGTAAGGTGTGAGGTTTCACTCCATATTCTTTATGAAAATATGCTTATGAGATGAATATGACATAACTGAGATTAACTTTATGCAAGGTGGGTCTTGTAAGGTATCATTGGAAAGGTTATGATTTGCTGAATGGGATTATCCAATTTGTATGCATCATTTATGATATCATTTATGTATCTAAAGTTAGGAATATGGACTATGTAACAATTACAATTGGGATACCCACCAGACGACAGGCCATCACATTTGATGAACCATCAGGAAGAAACAACAAGACTGTGAAGATACTAATCTATCTCCTGGGAGGCATCCTGGGACATAACTGTAACACTACTAGGTCAGGTGACCTTGTCACATGATACTAAACATTATCTTCGACTTCTTGTAACTTTCCACTGTAAGGGAAGGGGCGGGGGTCAAGTTTGGGAAACAAAGGATTCCCGCCTTATGTAAATCTTATTTAAGGTTGGGGAGGAAGGCAAACAAGACTCTCCTCTTTGGCTTACCCAAGAAGAAAGATTGCTGAAAGTGCCTGAAGGGACAAAGAAACCAACCTGAAGTGAAAGGCAGGGGTGAGTCCAGACTGACACAGGGGTCCAGTCTGTAAGGAAATAACTAGAACTCTGAGCTACAGAAACTCTGCATCCTATCTAAATTCAATATTTAGGGTGAGAAATTGCATTTTGTAACCTGTTTCTTAAGTACATTGAGCTTAGCTTGCATATTTTGTTTTATTTACTCAGTAAACTGCTTTGTTCTGTCTGTTATGTCTTATAGTCACTTAAAATTCATCTTTTGTAGTTAATAAATTGTGATGGGGCAAGGCCAGATGGCTACAGTAAAGTAGTGAGGAACAGGTATTTTAGCCCCAGGCTAAACAAATCCCTGGGACCATGGTAATCAAATGGCAGTTGCTCCAGGTTAATCAAGACACCTGGGGCCAATTAAGATCCTTCTAGAAGGCAGTGGAGATAGCTAGATTGATTGGGACACTTGAAGCCAATCAAGGACTGGCTGGAACTAGTTAAAAGCCTCCCAGTTAGTCAGTGTGGCGTGGGTGTCAGGAGCTATAGGAGGGAGCTGTGCTGTTGGAGGAATGAAGTAGTACAAATCCATATCAGGTGCAAGGAAGGAGACCCTGAGGTAATTGTGAAGAAGATACTGAGTGGGGGCTGCTGTGGGGAAGTAGCCCAGGGAATTGTACATGTCCTATTTCCAAAAAGTCAGCTTCCATAGCTGCTAATTTTAGGGTCCCTGGGCTGGAGCCTGGAGTAGAGGGTGGGCCTGGGCTCCCCCCTCCCCTCCCTGATTAATCACTGATACTGGGAGACAACAGAGACTGTGTGAGGGAGGGTTGTTTCTCCTCACCTCCCTTGCTGGCTTATGATGAAAATGGCTCAGTAGACTGTGACCCTTGCCTCTGAGGTTAGCAAAATCTGTCAGGAAATGCAGGACCCACGGAGTCAAGGACAGAACTTTGTCACAAAATGTATTTCTTGTTTATAATATAACTCAGTTTGTACAATTCATACTGTGTGTGTGTGTGTGTAAGAGGCTCTGCATACCTTCCTCCACATTGAGGGAGGAGGTGGATTTCATCATAGACCTTTGGGTCTCCACTCCAAGGGAGGTGGACACGTGAGTGCTGAGGCAAGTCCCATAAGCTGAATCTTCCCAGAGCTGATCTCAGAGTCTGTGTTGTTCTGCAGTTGGGTATGGCCCTGCCTGTGTGTGTGCTGGAGGAGGCTTAATAGCCTGGCTCAGCAAGACAGGTATAAAGGGTGCCCGGGCTGGCAGAACAGGCAGGCTCCGTGGTATCCCAGTATATCAGGTGACATCCTAAGGGGGGAAACCCGTCACAATATCTGTGGCTATTGTTGTCAGTTTACTGAATATTGTGCCAAAACAGGTGGAGATGTCAGTTGTTTTGTTGTGGGCTACCCCAGCACTTATTGTTACCATTAAGGAGATCTCTAAACGGTTTTCTTAAATGAGATAAATTTGGTAAGAATTTCCCTGATTTGTCATGCCCAGGAATCTTCTTATAACAGAAACATCTTTAGGTAATGCCTTCAGTTTGTCTGAATCTGGCTGAAATTACCTGTTTGCTAATAGTGTCCTATAGATTTTATTTGCTCTTTTCCAAATTCACATTTCTCCTCCAGAGTGAAGCCAGCTTGTTGGAAGTGTGTCTCAGCTTCTTGTAGTTGTTCATGATGATCATTTTATATCTGCCATATCCCAACACATCATCTGCATGGCAAAAGATGCCAGGCAAACCTGACATGGTAGAGAGATGCTCTTTTGGAAACATTCTGGTGCTGAAGATATGCCAAATGGAAGACAAATTAAACAGTAACTTCCAAATGGGGTGTTGAATGTAGTTAATGGCATAGATTGCTAGCAAGAGGGATTTGCCAGGAGCATGCTGTAACTTTGAAAAGATTTGATAACTGAGCTAATGTCTAGTCAACCATGGGAAGCATGTATCTTTCTCTGCACACACTTTAATTAAATTGGGTAAGGTGTACATATCTGGATTTTGTCATTGGGCTTTGGTACTACAACCATCCTCACACACCTGTCAGTGTGTTCTATCTAGAAAATAACTCCCATATCTTCCTCTGTCTTTAATTCTCCTTTGACTTTCCCAAGCAAGCACAGGTGCCAGCTTCCTTCTTGACCCAGGAGTGCTCAGCCCCCACTCCACCCCTTCCCCCAAGCCCCACCCCATACCTCTTTCCACCCCTGCCCCACCTCTTCCTGCCCAGTTCTGCCCCCTATCCCAAGCACCCTGTCCCCACTCCTCCCCCTCTCTCCTAGTGCCTCCTGCATACCGTGGAACAGCTGATCGTAGTGGGTGGGAGGCGGTGGGAGAGTGGGGGAGGAGTTGATCGGCAGGGCTGCTGGTGGGCAGGAGGTGCTTGGGGGAGGGGGGAGAGCTGGCTGCTGGTGCTAAGCATCCACTGATTTTTTTCCATGGGTGCTCTAGCCCTGAAGCATCCACAGAGTCAGCACCTATGCTAGCAAGAATATACAGGGATGGCATGGGGCTGACAGCGCAAAGGAAGTCACTGATGGCACCAAATACTTTGTACTCTCCTGACAGCTTTCCTAGACCTGTGAAGTTGCTTTTTTACCATTAACACATTCCAGTTTCTCTTCTAGGTATTGTCTTTATATTGCTGGCAACCTTAGCAAGGGAGTTGTCAGTCCTTCTATTACACTGCTCTACAGCCAAAATGCTTCTGAAATAAATGTAGTCAAACTTTACTAATTCTGGGTCACTGAGAACGAAAATGATGCTTAAAATTGTTGATTGGCTCTAGTTTTCAAGATATGCTACTGGGTCCGTATATACGACCCTTGACTTGGGAATGGAGGAGGATAAGTGAGTTATAAAGGGAAGGGATCTCAATTTAAACCAGAAATGACTAAAATACATCTTTGACTGGATCTATGAATAAATC